CTAACGCATAACTCAGTTTTTTACCAATCATCAACCGATCCGTTATTCTAAGCATCCGAAGAACACTCAGTTACAAAAATCATATGCAAAAAACAGTCAGAAATTTATTGCTGAGATTCACATAAATAGAAAAACGCGGAAATCAAATATTTCAATACGGAAATTATTGGAAAAATTGAAAAAAAAGAACCTGTTCAGCGAGATCATCTCCGAGTGAACGATTCTTAAGTTGCCAGCATGTCCAATCAATCAGCTCTTTAACAGACGGACTCTCTTTCAGGCGGAAGAAATTCAATTCGAGTGCAGCGAACAGCTGACCAAGCAATCGTGCACTCGCCAGTTGTATCGCTGGTGATTCCAAACATTTCGCGAAGTCCTCCAGATGCTCTGCAAAACCAATTAATTTCATTTACAATCATCGGAGTATTACGACGCAAACGTGTTTCGGCAAATAAGACGTTCCGCATCTAGACTGTATAACTAGAATATACTACGCAGAACGTTCGCTAAATTCATTGTCAATTAATAAAATTGTTTGACAACAAAAAAACTACGCACATAAAATTCATGCTAGTGGATAAAATATGCTGAAAATGGAGTTGAAGTACAAAAAAGAAAATTTCAAATCGCTTCGATCAGATTAACGATAGCCATCGTGAATCGATTGCAACTACTCGCTCTTAACTGAGCCATCAATTTCAGTCATACACAAACTATGCAATACTATTTCTGCAATTGGATACCTTTTCATTCTTATCAATAAACCTCCACAATGATCATTCACATTCAATGGTTATACTGAACAAAATGAAGCGTTAAATAAACTCACTCAAAATTTCATCGAATAAACCACTGTTTGCAGCTTGTTTAGCGGCACTTTCACATTTTCGAATCAATGCCGTGAGAGAGTCGATAATTTTGGTAATATTCATCTCGGTGTATTCGCTCAATATATTCGGTTGAACTGTTTGTGTTACGTATGGCAACAGTTCGTTGAGTTTGTTCGAAACAATCTCATTTCTTACTTCAGCCATTTCAACCAACATTTGCATTGCAATCGAACGACTCTGCTCCTTAAACAATGTCATCAACTGCACAAATATCTGCGTTTCTTTTTGCTCATAGAGATAAAATGCAGACAACAGCACAAATTAAAGATTCACAAGAACAAACAACAAAACAGGAAAAACAGAGGAAATTGTGAATGATTGATCAATCTGATATGTCGTGAGCACAATGATGATACCACCTGGTGTTGTCATCAACTAGAGTACAATGCTATCATTTGAGACAATACAAGAAACAACAAATTACCTTCTTCGCTTCAAGCCAGTCCCTCATCGCCAAATAGACATCGTTCAATCTCGATTCGGATACAGACTCGAATAACTTGCGAGTGGCTAATGTGATCATGCGCCGACACTTCAAACTTTTATCGTTCGTCAGACGTGCACCCAAATTCACCAAAGCCAACAAACAATGCTGATCGTTCACATTCTGAAAATTTATCAATGACAATATTTAACACTACAAAACCATCCCCGCACTTAAGATTTCAACCAAAGGCCATTGATTAACGGTTTCAATCTCAATAATTATCAGCTGAGCTAAAGATGTATCCTCCCCGACGAGTAGGAACGTTTCAATCC